CACAACCATTGGAAAGATAGATCCATAACCGTTGGAAAGATAGATCCACAACCATTGGAAAGATAGATCCACAACCGTTGGAAAGATAGATCCACAACCATTGGAAAGATAGATCCACAACCGTTGGAAAGATAGATTCACAACTGTTGGAAAGATAGATCCACAACCATTGGAAAGATAGATCCACAACCATTGGAAAGATAGATCCATAACCGTTGGAAAGATAGATCCACAACCATTGGAAAGATAGATCCACAACCGTTGGAAAGATAGATCCACAACCGTTGGAAAGATAGATCCACAACCATTGGAAAGATAGATCCACAACCGTTGGAAAGATAGATCTTCAACTGTTGGAAAGATAGATCCACAACCATTGGAAAGATAGATCCACAACTGTTGGAAAGATAGATCCACAACCGTTGGAAAGATAGATTTTCAACCGTTGGAAAGATAGATCCACAACCGTTGGAAAGATAGATCCACAACCATTGGAAAGATAGATCCACAACCGTTGGAAAGATAGATCCACAACCATTGGAAAAATATATCCACGACCATTGGAAAGATAATTGGTTAACTATTACTACTAATAATATTGTTTACCAGCAAACGTGACGTGTTCCCGTGTCCTTTTTTCTATCATGAAAATATGAAATACTAAACGTCTCTGGCCAGGTCACGTGTTGGTCACACAAGATTAACGCAAGGTCACTTAATGGAGCAGAGACCTGCACCTTACTGTCAGGACAGCATTGTTGCACTTACTGTCACTCATCTCCAAGTGGAATGTCTTGATTTTTCACGATGAACGAAAATTCGGTTTTCTTTGTCATACCATCACGTATGCCTTATGTCCCTCAATAAATTGAGGGACATCAATGTTATATTAATATTTATTATATTATTATACAATAATAATAATTATATTATACACTAATTATTATAGTGAGATAATAATTAGTTATACTGTACGTCAATGTTATAATAATAATTGTTATTCAGAAGAATGTGTGTACAAAGAACATAAGAGTAATGTACAGTTGTAGGGACAGAAGTTACACATACTAATGAAGCCACTATTACGCAAAGCCTTAAGTTAAGACGCCCCAGAGACAAGCATTATTGACTTTTATATTTTTGTTGTCTCAGGGGACACTCCCATTTACAAAGGCCGTTCTGAGGGTATAGTGATAATATCGAGACGTCAACTTCCCTCTCAGACCACCTGGATAGATATCTAGATATTTGTGATGGTCTGACTGAAAGCATATTGCGGTTCTAATACTAGACTACTTGTAAGCAGACACGTGAACCTATGTCTTAAACAGATAATATTCCCAACTTATAACTATTGTATTATGATTCCAGCGTTTAAATTATAAAAAAGCCCATGGGGCCCTGACAGCTGAGTGGACAGCGCGTCGGATTCGTAGTCCTGAGATTCCGGGTTCGATCCCTGGTGGAGGCGGAAACAAATGGGCAGAGTTTCTTTCACCCTGATGCCCCCTGTTCACCTAGGAGTAAATAGGTACCTGGGAGTTAGACAGCTGGTACGGGTTGTTTCATGGGGGATGTGTAACAAAAGGGAGGCCTGGTCTATTGTATTGTCTATTGTCTAATCTATTGTACGCTACCTTGTCTATTTTATGCATTTTTTCATTTCATTTATTATGCACCCCATACCCAACCCATGGGCGGTGGTGGAAAGTTACAGAGGCACATAATAGGTTCAGGAACTGAACCCCATAGTTCGTTTAGCTAAGCAAGTGACAATCTTGTAAAGCTAGTTACACAATTGTTAATATTACATACCTATATATATATATATATATATTGGTGTATACTGGCAGCAGGTTTTCTTTTAAACATGTCTCATTGAATATGACCGCATATTCAGCATTTACTATTCTGATTTAGGGCTTCTACCCCTCTAACTATTTTCCTAGCATCACGGCTTAGCCGAAAGAGGAGTTCTGCAAAACTCATTTTCGTTATTTCAAGGTGAAGAAAAAAGTGAATTACTATAGAATGTATTACACTTATTTATACAATTTGCACAACGTTGTGGCAATTGTATAAATAAGTGTATATACAGTATATATATATATATATATATATATATATATATATATATATATCATAGCCTATATATTTGCCTAATAAGCCAAGTATATATATTTACTATATTTTTTTCTTATGATATATATGTATATATATAGTTAAAATTAACATACATACAACATACAACCTACCTATACATATTAATTCATACTTATTAGGCAAATCGGGCCTTGACTGAGAAGTACATACATACATACATACATACATACATATCAATAATCTTTTTATATCATAAGTGATTCAACAAGAGGCTCACAACAGTCACTATACAAGGCACTTTACATGTATGGTGTGTCACACAGTTACTAGTCTTCCTCTACACCCACCCAACTAGGCGGCGGCCTTACAGTCATGTGCATGCATTACCGCATTGAGATTTCACCTTCAATAGGCCAACTGCTTTTGAAAAAGATCAGAACAGAGCGAGAATAATCATCTCAGAACTAAGTCAACCCTCATACCAGGAAAGGTTTAGAGCCTGAAGACTACGAATACTTCAAACTAGACACGACATGGCTGATCTAACTGAGACCTGTAAAATAATACAAAAATAAAGGTTTTAATCCAGACCACTTCAAGGAGAAACCCCTTGAAGAAACCCCTTCAAGGAGTTTCTCCCCTTGGGAGAAACTCTCCCAAGGGGCAAGAACTTCAAGCTCAAGAAGCCACAAAGTAGAACAGACAACAGGAGATGCTTCGGCACCCTTTGGGTAATAAACCCACAGAATTGTCGAACCGCCGAAGCAGTAAATGCCAAGACAGTACTTCAATTTGAAATCCAACTGGAAGAAACTCAAGAATAATGCAGGACATTTATTGACTAGCTGCCGGCTGCCTGTCCCCGCCGAAGCCACTGGATATAGTGCCCGTCAGGTAAATTCAAGTAATTATATTCACATTTTCACTGTCTACAGAACAGGTCGGTGCGTGAGGTTACAGTGAGCCTGTTGGAACGTGCAGACTCTCTTGGGTACGAGGCTTCTCTCTCAACACTATAAAATAGATATATAGAGGGGGTAGAAATAGCCTAAGCTACTCTATCCCTTTGAGATGTATTTCTTTCTTGTCTCAATAAACATACTTGAACTTGCATAGATATAGTAGAGAAAACTTGTTCTTTTCTAAATCAAACCATGTTCTTTTTCTGAGTTTTAACGGAAACAAATGAATACATGAGGAAGTCTGAAACTCTAAAACCCGTTATATAAATATTAATGTATAAAGTCCGGAGAGTCAGTCGTTGATGCCACATTTCCAGATATTTGTGCCTGGGTGATGGCGGTGATAAACAGGAAGGAAGTGAAGCTGGTGGCTGACGTATTGAGATTATTTACATTTTCCTACGTCTTAATTAAAACATCGTAGCAAGTTTAACAATAAACTTTCTGTGCATGTTTTATCACTCTGAGAATGAATCTTAAGTTAGGTGGGAAAAATCACGGTGAAGAAGGAATTTGTCATATTTCAATTACGCTTTTAGTGTGTCAATTATTTATATACAGTTTAAACAATATAAATTATTATACAATAATGCATTTCTTAACATATTTTGAACTGACTTAAATTGTGGATCATAAGTGGTATTGTTACTGCAGGTATAAGCAGTAGGAAGCTGATGGTTGCTGCCCTCCATCACAGCCAACAGACAGATTACAGTTGCTGCATTCCACTGCCAACGAAAGATTATGGTTGCTGTCATCTACCGTAGCCACCACCAACAGTAAGATTATATGTGCTGCCTTCCACTTGCAGCATAAATATTATGGTTGCTGCCCTCCACAACAGCCACCACCAATAGTAAAATAAAAGTTGGCGCCTTCCACCACCAACAAAAAGATTATGGATGCTGCCTTCCACCACCAACAGTAATATTATGGTTGCTGCCTTCCACCACCAACAAAAAGATTATGGATGCTGCCTTCCACCACCAACAGTAATATTATGGTTGCTGCCTTCCACCACCAACAGTAATATTATGGTTGCTGCCTTCCACCACCAACAAAAAGATTATGGATGCTGCCTTCCACCACCAACAGTAATATTATGGTTGCTGCCTTCCACCACCAACAAAAAGATTATGGATGCTGCCTTCCACCACCAACAGTAATATTATGGTTGCTGCCTTCCACCACCAACAAAAAGATTATGGATGCTGCCTTCCACCACCAACAGTAATATTATGGTTGCTGCCTTCCACCACCAACAGTAATATTATGGTTGCTGCCTTCCACCACCAACAGTAATATTATGGTTGCTGCCTTCCACCACAGCCACCACCAACCATGGAGTATCCGCCATTTGCCCTCATGAGTAAGTGTAGTTATACCATGATTATAATGTCTTACAACATAAATATTTGAAACTAGATAGCATATTGACTAAATGAAATGTTAATAGCCTCAAATTTTCTCTATACTTCTATGATTCTTTGCTTGGGACGAAAGTTGAAAAATTAAGTCTCTAAATCATGTTTTTTACAATTATAATAGGCCTGAAGTATGCCGTTCAGTTTAGGTTAAATTGTTCGTTAAATTCAATTTAAAAACCTCAAAGGCAAAGGGAAAGTGAATATGACATAACATAGAGATATATTGGTAAATAATTTATATTTTTCAGTTTTAGTCGTGCTTAGTAATGTGGCAAGGTCCTCGGTACAAAGCTGCTCCACGTTCTCATCCATAAATGATGATGTTGAGAGCTACTAGTAAGTATTCATATCTTTATATGTTCTGAGTTATCTGTCGGTATTTTGAAATATACAGACATTTATATTTCTGAAAATAAAATGTTCACTTACCTGTATAAGGGATTTAATATTGATATGGCTGGCCACATTATAAATTGTGTTGAACAACTTTCAACAGCTGCTCTGAGTCGTGTCTGGCTTCGGCGAAGGTTCCTGCAGAGTACAAACAGCTGCCTGTATTTGGAACTGTATATTATCATAAGGTCAGTACTGGGTAAGGTGTACTGAGGTATTGTGAGTGTTGTCTGAGGTCAGGATCCATCCTGGAGTACAGGCAGAGTAAACAAAGACTTCAAGCTGCGAAGATGATTGGCAACATGTCATCCCAACTGGGAACACAACACATCCTGTCTGTCCTGTTGAGCTGTCTTGTTCTCCCTGATTATTGTGTTCTCTCATGTTGTCTTGTTCTCGCTGATAGTGTTCTCTGATGTTCTCTTGTTCTCTGATGTTGTCTTGTTCTCTGATGTTGTCTTGTTCTCTTATAGTGTCTTGTTCTCTGATGCTGTCTTGTTCTCGCTGATTATTGTGTTCTCTGATATTGTCTTGCCCGCCAAACACACACCGATACTACGACGTTGGTAAACGTTCGAACAAGTTTTAACACCTCCTAATCAGTTATAACAACCAATATAGCAAGTTGTAACAACGTTCTAATACGTCATAAACACGTAAAGCCAAGATGTAACAACTTTATTACAAGTTGTAACAAGCGGAAAATAAGAGACAGTTTCGGTTTGTGTTTAAAGGGGGGGCTCTGATGTTGTCTTGTTCTCCCTGAATATTGTGTTCTCTGATGTTGTCTTGTTCTCACTGATTATTGTGTTCTCTGATGTTGTCTTGTTCTCCCTGAATATTGTGTTCTCTGATGTTGTCTTGTTCTCACTGATTATTGTGTTCTCTGATGTTGTCTTGTTCTCGCTGATTATTGTGTTCTCTGATGTTATTCAGTTCATGGGATCCCCATGAACTGGGATCTATGGGCTTTAGAGCATTCAAATCGGAGGTAAGATATACCAGTATGATAATAATTAAATAATAATTTAATTATTATTGTTATATATCTTTCCTCCAAATAGAATGTTTGGTCACCTCTGAATATAAGATGACTAAGACAAATGGGAGTCAAAGATCAACCCCAATAGTTTAGCAGAATCTTGATACAGAAGGGGACTACCACAGAGCGACAATAGTGGACGAAGAATGACATGTTTCCGAGTATACGTCAAAGCATAAGTCTTAGTTGCAGAGAACATGAAGCCATGATTGGTGGCCCAGGACGACAACCATCAATCGCAAGTTGAAGCTTTCGTTGGAGTAAAGGAGAGTCATCACCCCGACAGCAGAGAGTGAGAGCAACATAGAGGGCCGAAAAAAATATCAGAAGGAATAGAGGCAGAGAGGAAAACCATTTAGGGCAACTAGGAATACAGTAGTGCTCAGAATACTTCCTTGGGGGGGGGACATTTTCATATTGTGGAAAGGAGTCAGAAAAAGTAATACCAAGTCTCACTTTAAACGAACAAGAAATGAAACTCTCAGGGAAGAGTGGGAGATTACAACGAAGGTCAAAATAGCGTAGTTGGGACAAAATATTGTATCTCCAGGTGATGTCATAATCTTTTTCCAGGTAAAAAACTGCAACAACGTAGGTTTTCGCAGCAAAGAATGTAAACCTCCAATTACACTAAAACATCCGTTGTGCTGCGACACTTGCGATAGCCAGATTGAGAGGGGGGATAGGTGGCGATACTGTTCTGTGAACCACATGAGACATACAGTGACCATACGTTCGAAGAGTTTGTACTCGAATTCCTTGAGTACCGGGTCTCCGAATAGAAAGAATTTCTGCCTCAAGCCAGTTCTCGGGGACTGACGACGTCTCCTAAATATGGTTATAAATATTCAGCAAATACTGAAAAGTTCACTGGGAGAGATGGAAGCATCTCATAATGAATACCGTTTGAGCCCGCCACCATAGAACTGCATGGAGCCCGTACCTTGTCAAGCACAAGACGAAGCTGGAAAAATTTCAGAGGCATGCCACAAGGCTAGTCTCAGAACTAAGAGGCATGAGTTACGAGGAAAGGCTGCGTGAAATGCACCTCACGACACTGTAAGACAGAAGAGTAAGAGGAGACATGATCACTACCTACAAATTTTTATAAGGAATTGACAAGGTTGATAAGTATAAACATTTTAACACGGGTAGTACGCGAACAAGAGGACACAGGTGGAGACTGAGTACCCAAATGAGTCATAGGGACGTTAGAAAGAACTTTTTCAGTGTCAGAGTAGTTAACGGATGGAATGCATTACTCAGTGATGTGGTGGAGGCTGACTCCATACACAGTTTCAAGTGAAGATATGACAGCCCAGTAGGGTCAGGAACCTGTACACCAGTTGATTGACAGTTGAGAGGCGGGACCAAAGAGCCAGAGCTCAACCCCCGCAAGTACAAATAGGTGAGTACGTACACACACACCCGTACATACACATACACACACACACACATATACGAGATGCAGCCCGTAGCAGCTGTCTAATGGCCAAGTACCTATTTGCTGCTAGGTGAACAGGGCGATCTGCCCAATTGTTCTTCCTCGGCCGGGAATCGAACTCGGGCCCCATAGGACTACGATCCCTGAGCGCCATATACTCTGCTGCGAGGACTTAAGACGTTAACGTATTTACCTGAGGGTCAGTAACACGCAAGTGGCCTCGACGGGGTCAGGAAGCCGGCGGATTGTCAAAGGTCCCCTCATTCGTGCTTGTATGTACTCGCCTAAAGTGAGCTAGTTTAGTTCATTTATTATGCACCACATACCCATCTTGTGGGCGATAGTGGAAAGGGTTACAGGGGCACATAATGGGCTCAGGGACTGAACCCCACAATTCATTTAGCTAAACAAGTTACAATATTGATGAGCTAGTTAGAAAATTCAGTATAAGTCGTCATATCAACAATGGGTTCGAGATCGACCACAAGTACAGTTTCTAAATTAAGCAACTGACATATGTGGAGAGCCTAGTGTCACAATTGATATGTTTGTCTTGCACCAACCCGTTCTCGCACTTGCTTACTGTCAATATTGGCTTATTTAATAAGTGCATATGTGACATACTAATTGATTGTGAATATTTTAGTTTACCTTGAAAAGCTTCATAGAAAACACCGACCTCATCTAACCTTCTTAGTATGTTAAGATAAGCATCTTATTGCTTCTTAATTACAATTATTACTTAACCTATACCGTTGATAGGTTAAGTAATAATTGTAAATAAGAAGAAATAAGATGCTTATCTTAACATACTAAGAAGGTTAGGTGAGGTCGGTGTTTTCTATGAAGCTTTTCAAGGTAAACTAAAATATTCACAATCAATTAGTATATCACATATGCACTTATTAAATAAGGCCAATATTGACTATAAGCAAGTGCGAGAACGGGTTGCCTGCACACCGCCCCCCCATTCAGTGGGCAGCGGTGGATAGGTTACAATCTCCTAGTTACTACTTACAGTTAGCAAACTGGGGATATTTGGCTAAAATTTCTGGTAGCAGATCATTTTGAATTAAATATTTACACATCGTTGGAACATTGGTTATAGAATTGTCTCTGAATTCACGTACCTTTTCGCACTTCATCACATAGTGACGGAGGGTGTGCGAATAATTTTGTTGACACAGTTTACATTTGGTCAGGTCTACATCAGCAGATAATGAGAATTCCCAGAGATACTTGTAACCGAGTCTAAGCCAAGCAGTAGTAACATCTAGAAGTCTGCTGGTTTTATTGGGTGAATCATAGATGTGTGGCTCCTCTTGCATGGTAGTATGATGATAGATGGAATTACTGGTGTCTGCTGGTTTTATTGGGTGAATCATAGATGTGTGGCTCCTCTTGCATGGTAGTATGATGATAGATGGAATTACTGGTGTCGACTTCACTTTGCCTCTGGTCTACAAGATTTTGTTGAAGTTCTTGGTGTACTACTGCTCTCAGATTGCTCATTTAAAATCCAAGGTTACACTCAACGTCTCCTTTAAAGGCAGATTCTTTGGCTAACTCATCAGCTCTATCTTGCATTCGGAGGCCAACATGAGATGGAGACCACATGAAATGGACTCTTTTACCATCTTTAAAAATTTTGTTGTATTTGTTTGTGTCTAGCTTCGGACACGAGCATGTTACATTTATGTCTTAAAGAGTTGAGAGCAATTAAGAATGATAAAGAGTCACTTACAATTAATGTATCAAGTTTGGAGACTTGTACACATTTCAGTGCAAGGAGCAAGGCAAATAGTTCGGTCTGACGGGTAGAAGCCCAGTTGTTTATACGGACTCCCCACTCAAAATATAAGCCATCGCCCATTGTCAGGACAACTGCACTTCCAGCTGCACCCATGGGCGGTGTAGGGGACCATCAGTGTATATGATTTGAGAGAGAGAATGCTCTGTGGAGAGAGCATCAATATGGCTTAAGGCGTTGAGCTTTGCCTCAAGACGAAGCTTGGGCTGATCTAAAGATGCTTAAAAAGTCTAACGCTGATTACCGAGTAAAGCCTCACCAGGTGTTAGATATATATACTTCATTGTATTATAATTACATGAATATGGTGACAAACTGGTCGTCGGGGAATTGTTGTAATTATCATGGGGTATTGTAAAGTATAATAGGTAACATAGTGACGCATTGCAGGAGTCAGATGTGTGCCTCGCTGCCTTACATGCAGGAGCCGTCAGTACCCGGGGAGGGCCTGTCACCTTCACCAGAGATAATACTGCTCAGAACATCCGGGGCACCATACAACACCGTGTTGTTTCACGATCAATGCCGTAAGTATACCTTGTGTGTACATGAACTGTGGCTCCACACAGCGATCATCCAGTATGATACTTACTCACCCTATAAGTGTGCTTAGTGTCATGAACACAAGTGTGTATCATGTGTCTGGATCACAAGTGTGTCTCATCCTAGGTTCACAAGTGTCAGCCAGGATGATAAGTATGGTGCAAGATCCACACACGTGTGTCTGGTGCCAGGTCCACACACGTGTTTCTGATGCCAGGTCCACACATGTGTGTCTGGTGCCAGGTTCACACACGTGTTTCTGATGCCAGGTCCACACACGTGTGTCTGGTGCCAGGGCCACATACGTGTGTCTGGTGCCAGGTCCACACACGTGTGTCTGGTGCCAGGGCCACATACGTGTGTCTGGTGCCAGGGCCACATACGTGTGTCTGGTGCCAGGGCCACACACGTGTGTCTGGTGCCAGGGCCACACACGTGTGTCTGGTGCCAGGTCCACACACGTGTGTCTGGTGCCAGGTCCACACACGTGTGTCTGGTGCCAGGTCCACACACGTGTGTCTGGTGCCAGGGCCACACACGTGTGTCTGGTGCCAGGGCCACACACGTGTGTCTGGTGCCAGGTCCACACACGTGTGTCTGGTGCCAGGTCCACATACGTGTGTCTGGTGCCAGGGCCACACACGTGTGTCTGGTGCCAGGGCCACACACGTGTGTCTGGTGCCAGGGCCACATACGTGTGTCTGGTGCCAGGGCCACATACGTGTGTCTGGTGCCAGGGCCACACACGTGTGTCTGGTGCCAGGGCCACACACGTGTGTCTGGTGCCAGGGCCACATACGTGTGTCTGGTGCCAGGGCCACATACGTGTGTCTGGTGCCAGGGCCACATACGTGTGTCTGGTGCCAGGGCCACATACGTGTGTCTGGTGCCAGGTCCACACACGTGTGTCTGGTGCCAGGTCCACACACGTGTGTCTGGTGCCAGGTCCACACACGTGTGTCTGGTGCCAGGTTCACACACGTGTGTCTGGTGCCAGGGCCACATACGTGTGTCTGGTGCCAGGGCCACACACGTGTGTCTGGTGCCAGGGCCACATACGTGTGTCTGGTGCCAGACCCACACACATGTCTCTGGTGCCAAGATCAAGAGTATCTCTGGGTACTCTTGCATGTTTTGTGTGTGACAATTTTTTAAAATTTTTGTTATTTTCTTCTAACATGTTTTTTGTGAAGAAAATTAAATATGCAAAAACCTTAATAGTAAAGAAAATACTTTAAGAAAAGACAGGTCCTAGTTTATATCTTAGTAGACAGGTCCTAGTTTATACCTTTAAGTAGACAGATCCTAGTTTATACCTTTAAAGTAGACCGGTCCTACTTTACATTTTGGGAGTTGGCAAATCGTAGTTTGCACTTTTAGAGTAATCATGTCCTAGGTTACATGACGATAGTAGACGGCCTAGTTTATGCATTGTGAGTACACTATTCCTAGTTTATGCCTTGAGCAGCCCATCCTCCTGTTTAGATGTGGATCATACACAATGTGCGGATCATCGTATATATATTGATGTAAAAGGCAATTAAAAGGTAGAATTTTGTATTATTAAATTTGTACAAACCGGAAAAGTTTTTATATTTATGTTACTAATAAAACCTAACCTAACTATCCTAGGCTTAATACACAATAGCTGAGGCCTATATAGTACATATATTAATGTACACATATTTCTTAATCATCAACGGAAGCGTGTTGAACAGTCTCAACATCAGAGGCCCGAGACTGTTCAACACGCTTCCACTACACATAAGGGGCACAACTGGCCGACCCCTCACAGTGTTCAAGAGAGAACTGGATAAGCACCTCCAAAGGTTACCTGACCAACCAGGCTGTGACTCATACGTCAGGCTGCGAGCAGCCGCGTCCAACATCCTGGTTGATCAGTCCAGCAACCAGGAGGCCTGGTCGACGACCGGGCCGCGGGGACGCTAATCCCCGGAAGCACCTCAAGGTAAGGTAACGGACAGTCAGCCAAAAGTGCGAGGGAATTAGTGCTTCAACAAAGGACAAAGAAGGTAACCAGATTAGAACTAGAAATTGATGGAACTAGGATAGTAGGTAGGAAGGTGGGAAAAGCTTACTCCAGATGACAATTTTCCCTGTGTAGACCAGCGTGGTCTAGGCCTGGGAATATTTAAGTATGGTTTTCAGCTTTATTGTTTCCGAACTCTATCAAATGAGTAGTGTCAAATTCTACTAATTGTTCATTACATCAGAGCATGTACATTGGTACGTTGAGCAGGTCCTAGTTTACATCTTGAGAGTAAACAGGTCCTAGTTTACACCTTGGGAGTAAACAGGATTTAGTTTACACTTTGAGAGTACATGTACTATGATGATGAAGCCACACACCACAAGTTGAAGAAACCGCGACGTTTCGGTCCGTTGTGGACCATTATCAAGTCGTATGTCAGTACATGTACTAGCTTAGACCTTGAGGGTACAGGTCCTGGTTTACAACATGATAGTAGACAGGTCCTGGTTTACACTGTCAGTATACAGGTCGTAGTTTCAACTTAGGTGGTAGGTTACAGATTACACCTTAAGAGTACACAGATTCTAGATTACATCTTGCAGACTAGGTTTTAATTTACACTTTGTGAGTAGACAAGCCTTAGTTTACACCTAGAGGCTACTGGTCCCAATTTAAGCGTTGAGAATAGTCTGGTCCTACATCTTGTCAATGAAAGTTATTAGTAAAGACGGGAAAATAAAGCTGTCAGAATAGTATTATAAAATAACAGTGGAAGTAATACTCTGCTTCACGTCTGACGTGTTACATAGTGATCTTAATATATATTATTATTATTACAGGCGAGAGAAATCTGGTGGGAACATTACTTACAAGTTCGACAGGATAAGTCCCGTCATTTCCCTGCAAGGTAAGACTCATCACTCCTATTTTGTAATGCTCTCTGTTGGTTTCTGCATATGGGGTATATCTTATGTTGCAATACCTTATCTGTATGTATATATATATATATATATATATATATATATATATATATATATATATATATATATAGTATATATATATATATATATATATATATATATATATATATATATATATATATATATATATACAGTATATATGTGTATATGTCGTACCTAGTAGCCAGAACGCACTTCTCAGCCTACTATGCAAGGCCCGATTTGCCTAATAAGCCAAGTTTTCATGAATTAATATATTTTCTCTAATTTTTTTCTTATGAAATGATAAAGCTACCCATTTCATTATGTATGACGTGAATTTTTTTTATTGGAGTTAAAATTAACGTAGATATATGACCGAACCTAACCAACCCTACCTAACCTAACCTAACCTATCTTTATAGGTTAGGTTTGGTTAGGTAGCCGAAAAAGTTAGGTTAGGTTAGGTTAGGTAGGTTAGGTAGTCGAAAAAACATTAATTCATGAAAACTTGGCTTATTAGGCAAATCGGGCCTTGCATAGTAGGCTGAGAAGTGCGTTCTGGCTACTAGGTACGACATATATACAGTTATATGTGTATATATATATATATATATATATATATATATATATATATATATATATATATATATATATATATATATATATATATATATATATATATATATATATATATATATATATATATATATATATATATATATATATATATATATATATATATGTCGTACCTAGTAGCCAGAACTCACTTCTCAGCCTACTATTCAAGGCCCGATTTGCCTAATAAGCCAAGTTTTCATGAATTAATATATTTACTATAATTTTTTCTTATGAAATGATAAAGCAACCCTTTTCTCTATGTATGAGGTCAATTTTTTTTTATTGGAGTTAAAATTAACGTAGATATATGACCGAACCTAACCAACCCTACCTAACCTAACCTAACCTATATTTATAGGTAAGGTTAGGTTAGGTAGCCAAAAAAAGCTAGGTTAGGTTAGGTTAGGTAGGTTAGGTAGACGAAAACACATTAATTCATGAAAACTTGGCTTATTAGGCAAATCGGGCCTTGAATAGTAGGCTGAGAAGTGCGTTCTGGCTATTAGGTACGACATATATATATATATATATATATATATATATACATATATATATATATATATATATATATATACACATATAACTGAAAACTCACCCCAGAAGTGACTCGAACCCATACTGCCAGGAGCAACGCAACTGGTGTGTACAGGACACCTTAATCCACTCGACCATCACGACCGGACATAAGGAGATGATAGCCGAAGCTATTTGAACCACCCCCCCACCCCCACGCCGGCACTCGGATGGTAATCTTGGGCATAGTATTTTATTAAATTACCTCATTCTTTGGGGCGCACGTGAGGAACACAAGTGCGTAAATATCTTATTTTTATAAATAACGATGAACTGATCAAGAACATAATTACAAATACGCATTTGTGTTCCTCATGTGTGCCCCAAAGAATGAGGTGATTTGATAAAATAGCATGCCCAAGATTACCATCCGAGTGCCGGCGGGGGGGGGGGGGGGTTCAAATAGCTTCGGCTATCACCTCCCTATGTCCGGTCGTGATGGTCGAGTGGATTAAGGCGTCCTGTACACACCAGTTGCGTTGCTCCTGGCAGTATGGGTTCGAGTCACTTCTGGGGTGTGAGTTTTCAGTTGCATATAGTCCTGGGGACTATTCAGGCTTGTTCGCATATATACATATATGTTATACAATTGAGTACAATTTAATGCTGGCTATTGTGTTTAGATTTGTTTGAACTTATGTTACTACTTTTATACTAAAGCAGTTAATGTCAACAGACCTGGCTGAGGATGTGATCATTGTCCACAACTCGCACTCTGGGAACAACGGCCGACTGGACCTCACTTGCTTGACCAGTGACACCAGCAGAACGCTCACTAAGGAGGATATTACATTTTGGCAATATAATACACCAGCTTTTATTACAAATAAGACTCGTAAGTATTAAGTTTTATCTGTAAATTCATAAATTCTGACAAATGTTTCCATAATAATTTTCATTTATGTTTTCAACACTTGACTATGACCAGTTTATGTTCTTCGTCACAGTCGAATTATTAACATAATGTAGAGTTATGTTCGGGAGTGAGCAGTGGTGTACAGGGATGAGTAGTGGTGAGTACGGATGAGCAGCGATGAACTGGGATGAGTAGAAAACCTTACAATTCCAGCCCCAAGTATCATCTTGCTTGTGGACTTCAACCTTCGGCACCTAAAATGGAACAAAGTAGCAAATACAGTTATTCCCGAGAGAATACCGGGAAGTATCCTACATGAACAGTCACATGCAAATGACCTACTAAACCAGCAAATAATAGATCCAACTAGAAAAGATAACACACTAGATCTTATTTTCATAAATAACGATGAACTGATCAAGAACATGATTACAAATACCTGTTACTCAGATCACATTTTAATTGAAGTTCGGACAAGCATGGCAATAGACCTGCGCAGCCAGTCACAAATTCTAGAGGAGGAGAATTCAGCCAATTTAATTTTAATAATAAACAGATTAACTGGGAACAAATAAACCAAGACCTCACAGATATAAGTTGGGTTAGAACAACTAGAAAATGCAAACCTAAACCAGTGCCTCGAGAAAATAACTGAGTAGCACTAGGAATATATTCAAACCGCAAAGCTAAGAAAAGGAGGAAGAGATGCAGACTAGAACGAGAACAATGTTCCCTCGATAGACGAAGAAAACGAGTCGCAAATCAACTTAAACCCTATCTCCAGAACAACAAAGTAGGCTATGTAAAGAAATAGAAACGATTGAACAAAAGTTATGAGAATCATATGAAATCTAGGAGAGGCAGAGAGAGCAAAAGATCATCAGGGAAATAGAGAAAAATCTGAAATACTTTTTCTCCTATGCAAAATCTAGAACAAAAACTACATCTAGTATTGGGCCCCTGCAAAAGGGAGATGGCCCTTTCATTGATGACAATTATGAAATGTACGAAGTACTGAGACAACAGTACAATTCCGTTTTCATTCAGCCCTTAAACACGCTGATGATTGATAACCCAAACGAATTCTTCATGAATGTGATACCAGTATAAAGTCGTATATCGAATGTCACCCTAACTTCTCTTGATTTTGAAGCGGCCATAGACAGTATGCCTATGCACTCTGAACCAGACCCTGATTCCTGGAACTCTCATATTCATCAAGAACTATAACCAAAAAAAAAATCGCAGGCCCTAAACATTTTTGGGAAATGGAGCTTAGATACTGGTGATATCCCTGACATACTGAAAACAGCAGAAATAGCACTACTCCATAATGGAAAGATTAAAGCAGAGGCAAAAATCAATAGACCGACAGCACTACACATTATAATAATCTTTGAAATAGTAATATGAAGAAAGATCACAAAACACATGTAATCACAGCGTCAACATAACCCTGGACAACACAGTTTGAGAACAGGGCGCTTTTGCTTATCACAATTGCTGGACGACTATGACATGGCCTAAGATGCCATGGAAGACAAGCAAAACGTTGACGTAATATACACAATTTCACAAAAGCCTTCGATAAATATGACTATGGTGTTACCACGCACAAAATGCGAAAACAATAGGAAGATGGATCTACAATTTCGGAACTAACAGAAACCGATGTGTAATAGTCAACAAAGTAAAATTCGGATCATCAACCTTGAGGAGCTCAGTCCCCCAGGGGTCTATGCTTACTCCAGTACTCTCTCATTCCCATATCGGACATTGAGAAGAGCACAAACTATAGTACCGTAGCAACCTTAGCAGATGACACTAGGATTTTTGAGAGTAGCCAACATAGAGGACACAACAAACCACCAGACTGATGTAAATCTGGTCTTTCAGTGGGCCACTGAAAATAATGTGGTATTTAATGAAGATATGTTTCAACTCCTGCGCTATGGAAAAATGAAAATACAAAAAAGGAAACCACATATAAAATGCAGTCAAATCATACCATAGAACGTAAAAGCAATGTAAAGGATTTGGGCGTAATCATGTCAAACGACCTTACCTTTAAAGAACTCAATAAAGTAAGTAGCACGTCACAACTGCTAGAAAAATGACATATTGTAATAACAAGAACCTTTCAAACAAGAGATGCCATACCAAAGATTATACTTTTCAAGACGCTAGTGATCTCTAGAGTGGAATATTGTTGCACAACAACAGCCCCTTTCAGAGCTGGAGAAATTGCTGACCTGGTGAGCGTGCAGAGATCCTTTACTGTTAGAAACCATGCAGTAAAACATCTAAATTATTGAGACCGACTAAAATGCCTAAATCTGTATTCTTTAGAGTGCAGTCAGGAGGAATACTAATAATTTACACATGGAAAATATTAGAGGGGCTGGTCCCAAACCTGCACACATAAAATAACATCAAATGAGACCAGAATGCATGGCAGGATGTGCAGAGGTGCAATAGGTACGCTGAGGGAGAACTCTATCAACATCAGAGGCCCGAGACTGTTCAACACGCTTCCACTACACATAAGAGGCATAACTGGCCGACCTCTCAGTGTTCAAGAGAGAACTCGATAAACACCACCAAAGGATATCTGATCAACCAGCCTATGATTCATATCAGTTTTACCAATATGTATGTTACATAACCCATTTTCAACTCACGCTGTAAACTGTTGCATCACTGGGAAAGTTTTCAAGATCTGCAGTAAAGCGGGACGTAAAAATGGTTATTCAGAATATTGCAAGTTTCTTAATTTTCTATCAGTTTACATGAACTTGCTTTGATTGGCACAATGTTTTTTACAACTTGTGCAGGACATAACTGGACAAGCTTATAACTTTTAACTTATAAATTCTAACTTAGACAAGCAAGACTTTGCATGTATGACTACTCTTGTTTCATAACCACTTTGCTTTTCTTATTTCTTATTTAACTTTTTTTTCTTGTTCTTGTAATTTATAACAAATTAATTACCTAAAATTCTTTGTATTATTGTTAATATATATTCCTTTTCTTCTGACAAACTTAAGATTTTGGGTCATATATTTTGGATCATTCCTTCTGATATAAGTAGCCTTCATTAAAAAAAATTTTTCTAGCTGCACGTTGCTCAGACTTGAAAATTTAATATAATCCTCATCCACTGCGTAGAGTGCATGGGACAAGGGCTTTGTCCCAAGCCTAAATCTCTCAAACTACTTGCCTTAGACTATGTCTTCATTAATCATCATTTGCATTTGTTATTCTGGGACCTTGACAATATTTTCTTCAAAAGAAATTGTCCATGGGATAATTAAAACTTATATGTCAATGATCACTATTCCCAAAGTTGTGGGGTAATGCTAGCAGGCAGTAATGTGCTTTATAATTTGAGAATATTTATTTTTTATTTTTTATTTACTTTATAATTTCTTGTTTAATTGATATTTATTATTGCTTCAAATAGTGGACTGTATTTAAGATTCAGCCTGCCAGGTTTTACCTGCACATGTGGGGGGGGGGGTAATTGTGCACAGCTTATCCCACTATTGGTGGAGATAAATAAGCCATATACATTTACTGTTAATTTTATAATTATAGTTTATGCCACATATGGTGGTACAAACAGGCTACTGTGGTTAGCACTACACAATATTATTGTAAACATAAGTTAGTAAAAAGTAATGGGTTCTCAGCTGTGAGGTTGATATGGCCTTATTATGCAGTGTGAGAGAGCTGTTGCAACATCTGTGTTTGGTTGGCCACATGTAGTCCAGAGTGTGTCATGTAATGGCGTCTGGCACTGTAAAAATTGCGTCTGTTGGGGCCTTCCAAACATATAAAGGTCTATGGTGTTTTTCAGGTGGTAAACCGCTCAACTTGATGTTTCTCCCGTGAGCCACTCCTGCGGAAAGATTACGAACTAAACTGCATTCACAAATGTGCTATAGCAAAGAAACGTTATGTTATTTATTGTAAACCTGGCTTACCCTGGCTGGGGCTTCTTAGCCTGCTTAACCATATCAGTAATACTACACAATGAATAAGAGCTCTAAAATCATTTCTATACTGTACGGATATAATTAGCACTTCCCGTTGTTAGTGTAAGGGTCGCTGTGGCAATTCTCGGTTGGTCAACTTATAATTTTGAGTCTATGACGAGGTGTGCGTGTCGAGATATCCCACAAAAAGCCCTCTCATATCTTGTGTTTATGTTCTGACCAAGACAATGACTGGCCGCCTCCTCTCAGCGGTGTTCCAATATTTTTTTTTGGTTCTTACTCTGTCTTATGGACTTAAGGAGGCAAACTGTACTTTTACTGCTAATTATCTAAGAACCAGTCATAGTGACTACTATTTTATTAAGTTTAAACACTAGACTGTTGTTTAAGGAATGGTTGTGGAGCTTAAATATAATTGTTGTTATGACGTCACGGACCCGTTCTCCTTAAACTTTTGATTAACTACAGAAAATTAGCTACATCTATGATGGTTACTAGGTTAACATGTTATGTGTTGGATTTACGACAAAAGTTGCTCCCTGCTTTGTAATTTATAAATAATTAATAATTCATTGTGTCAATTATTATTCAATAATAATAATTCAGAGTATATTCATACACATTAGGCTTATATCGAGGTGAGAGGTCGAATTACTGACCCCTTCTAGGAAGGAACCTCACAACATGCTGACTATCTCCTGAGTACCTACTTACTGCTAGGTGAACAGGTGCATTAGGGGATAAGAAATGTGCCCAACCATTTCTGTCCTCAACTCAAGTCCATTACATCCAGCAGTCGACCCCCACAGACACGCTCATAAATTTTTACATGCTGTTCATTCAAAACAGGAATTTTCTCAAGTATAAATTAATATTATAGTATATTACCGTATTGTGTATATATAGGCATAGGTTAGGTTAGGTTAGGTGTTTAGGTTCTGTTGGCGATTATTTGTATTTGTAGTACGTGGGTGAAGC